TGACTTCTTAGTTCCACAATAACAGCATTGGATATAGCAAGTTTGCAGCTACAAAACACTACTTTTTAGTCAGCAGCAATGAACAAAGGTCTGCACGATGTGCTTGTACCAGTAGAGATGACCCCCTTTTTTTAAACAAACTTCTTTTGGCACTGCTGAAATGCATAACCTACCATCTGTGCTTAGATCTACTGTTCAGTCTCTGCAAATACTAATCTACTTCATATATACTTTCATGTGAGATGCTATTTTTGGCAGACTGCTGCTAGTTGTAATAAGAAATAATGAGAGATTATTTGTGAGAAAGTTCAACCTTTGTTATCATACCACCAACTTTCATCTCTGATATTATGGACTAACAAAGTAGAAGGCCTTACTTTTGGAGCAATACTCATATTGTATATAGAGATATAAACTGATCATTATTTCCCTTGTGATCAAGTTTTTTTTAATATTTTCTTTTACTTAAAAATTTGTTTTATGACAAATGTTCTTTTTGCTCGTTTTCTAATTGACTTCAAAATGAAAGATGTGACTAAATATACCACTTATTTCAGCTATGAACAGGATTAATTTCTTTTTAATCATTTCACCCCAAGCAAGGCAGCAAAGCCACTAGAGATTACTGAGTGTTAGAAAATGTGAGAAAAACTACTATTAAGGAGAGAGAACAATAAAAAAATAAGAATTATGACAGAAAATAACGATTGACATTGCATTTAAATTTTTGAAGATCAAAGTTGACTGGAAAGCAAGAACCAGGAAGAGAGTTCCACAAGCAAGAACTTATGATTACGTCTAGTCATTTCAACAGTATATTGAGGAGATCTTGCCGCCAATCTAGTATAGTGCTTAAATTCATAAAGTCATCAGAACAATTACCATGAAAGTATTTATAGAAAAACACAGGGAAATGACATTATGATGGTGGGAAAGGGACTGAAGCCGAGAGGCCAAGTCAGGACCAATAACATTGCAGATTCTTCTTTGGATTTTATTCCATTAGGTTTTCTTTTTCAGAAACAAAATTTATAAAGATCATAAGAATAAGAAGCCGAGTGAGAATTTATAGACTGTTTATTACCATTAGTAGTTTCCCTAGTTTTCATATTAAAGAAAAAAATGTCACTTACGAATTTTTCAACTGCATTAAATATCTCTTGAGTTCCTGAAAGAAAATTAAAAATATTTATATTCTTTTAGCAGAGAAAAGTTATAAGTAATGATCATGATTTAAATTAATGTAAAAACTGAAGCTAAAGAAAGCAAACATCCTAATCAGAAGAATCAAGTTTGCACAAGACAGTTTTGAATAAAAGGGGATATTCTGATCCCTTGACATCTCTAAGAATGATCTGTCAATAATAAATCAGAATCATGATGTAGATTGTTTATCTTAGACATTCAACCGATGAGTAAGTGCTGTAGATTCAATCAATATGCAATAATTTTAGTTTGTTGTGTAATCTTTCAAAGAAATAAACACATTGTAGTTAAATTTACTTTTTGAGCCTATAATCATTTTAATACTGAGAGGTAAGTTATGTTATATATAAAGAGTTAAAAATGCGTTCTTTTTAATACCCTTCCGAAATTATATATATATATATATATATATATATATATATATATATATATATATATATATATATACACACAACTTATATAATAAAATTAATTTGAAAGTAGTAAATCGGGTACTTAAGCTTTGCCACTTATGACTCCTGAGACTGTTCATAAAAAACTGGTAAAAAATCTATTGTATATATTGATCAATTACACTGTGGTATCACAATTTTTCATATTCATTTATGGTATCATTTTCATTTTTTCAGCAAGGTTCAAAGCATGACATCAAGTACTTTGCCTGCCAACAGTATTTTGCTGTTTTATTTAATAGATTTTCTGATCTTTAAACAAATATTATTTCTAATATTTCACTTGTTCAGGTGGTACAAATGGTACATATATCTTTTAGGCATGTCTGATTAAATAAATTACAGACATTATGTCTGCTAATTTTTTAACAAAATCCATTCATACTCATGAAAAACCTTCAGTGTATTGGTGCTAAAGGATGAGAGAAATGTGCAATAGCTGTTTAAATTTCTTCTATTTTCATTTCCCAAGTACTTTCAACCTTCTTCCAAGATCATCTTCAGGGATGCAAGTAGTACAAAACTATATGTTGTTCATTAGTACAAGTATTTATACAAAGTTGTGTGTTGTTATCCATTATGAAATTTTTTTCATGTTATAATGTCATGGTCATAAAGAAAAATAGACGTGTGCATACACACACACGTGTATTATACACACACAATCGTACATATACATATACACACACAAAATCCCCACTTCTGAACTGTAGGTTCAGCTAGGGAACATCTTTTCTAGTTTTTTCTTTCTAGAAATAAAAAAAAAAAAAAATATGATGAAAATACGTATCATTTTATTCCAATTTCACTTTTAACATCAAAAAATTTTAAATTCACAATATATACACACACACTCTCTTACATATATATGAGAGAAAGAGAGATCTATTGAAATGGTACTTTTCAGAATATGCATACATTTGGATAATATGTGAAACAAAATCATGTTCAAATGACATTGGCTGAAAAACACTATAAACATTTTTAGCAACAAGTAAATGCATTGTGAGTTATGATTCCCTAACATTATTCACTGAGAATTATAACAGTTCTGACAGCAATCAGACAAGTTGTTCAGGATCCATAATGAATGAGCTTTACAAAATTTGTAAAGCTCATATTGAAATAACAATTTTAATAAGTAGTTTTAAAATTTTAATTTCTTCTGAAAATTTTTTTCTTTAATATTTTGACCAAAATAAAATTACTGAAATGAAATTTTTTTTTTTTACTTTTAGAAACATAAACCTACAGTGAATTATTAATTGATTTTTTTACGGCTTATCAACAGTATTTTTTAAGCTGAAACATAAATCTACCACAGTGATAATTCTGAAACATGTTGGGAGAGGGGGGGGCACTTTTTTATATTCCTGTAATTCAATCACGTGATTATTTGTTAGCAATCGCTTTCACTCTTAAAAAAAAAAAAAAAAAAAAAAAGAAAAAACAAATTGTAATTTCTCCCTTGGTTCATAACTTTTAAATTTTTTTATTGAGATACTTTCTGAGGAAACATTTCAAAATATTAAAGAGAATATTTATTTTCATCCATAAATACAACCAACCGAAAAATTAAAAAATGCTAATAAAACTTATAAATAAAAAAAAAAAGTGGAGAAATAATCACATGTCAAGTTCATGTTTTGAACTTTTTATTTTTTATCATGGACTTAAAAAAATACAAAGAGTGTTAAATAAATTCCCCGATATAAGGTTGAATTTGAGCAAATATTATTTTTCTAATTTTTAGGGGGGCGTGGGGAATATATGTATCTTTTTTTTAAAGTCCATTTTCATCGTTCTCACAGCTTCATTTTTAAAAACATTATGTCCACACGATTAGAGAGAAAAAGACATTTTAGATCACCAAATAATTAGAACAAACGTAAACATAAATAATAATAGAAAGAAAAGGTAAAAATAAAACGGGAAACCGAAAAAGGACTTCTGTTGATACAGACTGATTGACAAGCATTTTAATGTTTTTAACGATTTTGGGGAGTCGTAAGGCCAAAAAGACTGAACACTTTTCTTTTCAGTTTTCATTAACATAAACAAACCGTTTTAAGGCGAACACAAAATTTTAAAGTTTCCTTACTTTCACTAGGCGAACATAATATTTTATTAATCGACACCGTAAAAAAGAAGAGTAATCTTTAGATAATATTTTTATTCAAAGATTCATAAAAAGAGGGGACGAAAGAATAGTCATGTTCGCCACATATGTGTTGACTGTTGACAAGAAGAAATATGTTTGGTGAGAAATGATTTATCGACGAGGTCAAAGTCAGATCGATATTAACACCAAAAAACAAAACAAAAAAAAACACCAAGACTTTTTCTTCTTATTGATTCAACCAAGTGTTACTTTTTCAATATGTTTTTAGAGAGATTTTTATTTTTGCCAAAAGGAAAATAAAGAACTAAAAAACTAAATGATTGAACAGCACTATTTTCTCCTACGTAACTTGAAACAATTACTTATTGTTTAAGTCAAACTTGAAACGATTACCTATCATTTAAGTCAGCAATAGAAATAAAATTATGACGGCCTCTTTAAAAAAAATATATATCGTTATTATTTCTTTTCATTTTTAAACAAATCTGTTTCCGTGTTTACCTACCTCGGCCATATTATTCTGTCGTCTCGTTTGGGCGAGAGTGTGGAAGAAGGGAAGCGTCCAAAATCTCGCGTGATACGACGAGATTTCCTCTATCTACTCCTCTTTCTAAGGAAAGGGGCAGATAACTGTGCCACATGGAAGGAAGAGGGGGGAAAGAAAAAGTTTTTGATTTTATTTTTTGATTTTTACAATCTCGCTGAGTCACGCGAGATTCTCAGGTACGAAGGGAGATAATCCAGTGCGAGAAATATTAGCACCGTCGCGCGGGAGCCGAGATACACGAATGCGTTGTTGCAACTCGCCGACTCCTTCTTAATATTATAATTTTAAGAAGAAGAAAAAATAAAGAAAGAAAGCAGAAAGGATTTTCGCTAGCAACAGGATCGGTTGTTGCGTAAGTGTATACACACATCTTCTTGCTGATATTACAATTGGGACATTTATTTTCAAGAGTAAGTGTGTATCTTCCTTGTAGTAGTCAGCCATCACAACGACCGGGATACTTGTTTCTTTTTAACACTCACTCATCCTAAACACTTAAGAACTCAGTTTATATTACAGGTTGACATTACTCAATCTAGAATACCAGTGTACAATTTTAGTGAGTATTTACTGCTATAACTTATTTTTATTGGTCTCATAAGCTTTAAAAAAATTAACCGACGCACCCTCTTGTCTTCTTTCTCTTCTTATATCTTGTATTCATTTTTCACTTATGGCTGTTACCGGAAAGTCGGGGAAGAACGAAGGGAGAAAGCCGAATCGCTACCGACCTTTTCCTAAACGTGGGGGGATGCAGCAGCAACCCCCAATGCCATTTCTACCACCTCCACCGTGGCAGGTCCGGCAACCGAAATCCTCTGATGACCGGCATGTTATGGCCAAACACGCCAGTCTATACCCCGCCAATTTACCGGCATTTCAGAAAATGGTGTCGGCTTGCGAGAAAGCACTCAAGCTTGTGTCCGATCAGCTTTCTTGTAATTCGTCTTCGTCGCCTCCAGCCGACGAGGACAGTCATAGGGACGAAGAAGAAGGACAGACTACATCCACGGGAGAAAAGTCTGGTGACAATACTTCGGAAAAAGAAGCGTCAGGAACGGGTACGACAAATAAGGATTCTAGTAATAATCAGAAGGACCAACACAGACAAGATAACGTCTACCGATCGTTAAAAGGTGTCCAAAGGGTCGGTGTATTCGGCCACGGACTGTTGTTACAGGAAGACACAACTGTCGATCTTGTAGCTTTGTCTGCGGAAAAACCAACAGAAAGTTTGCTTCAGCAAATTTACGAGTGCTTCCCTACCCACCTGTCGGCCGTCACTGACGATAAATACGAATTAAAGCTGCAAATGGAGTCGGCAGCGATATTTGTCACACGCGAAAAAGAACCTAATATTTCATGTAGAATCACTTTGACCTCTCCTCAGATGAGGGATAACCCTGAGGGATCTGGGGACCAGGACGAACCACTCGAGGTAGGAAGTGACAACAATGGTGACCACAAAAATACATCGGGCCCTAACGGTGGTGAAAAAGATGTTGAAAACGCACAAGACGAAAATGCCAAGAAAACTCAGGATGAAAAATCTAATGATGATCACACCCAAAATACAGACTCTTGTGACCCTCCAGATGTCCTGAATAAAGAAATCTGTTTGGAAGCCTTAGCTCAACTCAGACGAGCAAAATGGTTTCAAGCCCGGGCTAGGGGGTTGCCAAATTGTGTGGTCGTGCTTCGTATACTTCGTGATCTTACCAAAAGGGTTCCCCAATGGGCGAATCTGAATCTTTGGGCTATGGAATTGTTGGTACAGAAATGTATTGGCAGCGTACGGGTTGCTTTGGGACCTGGAAATGCACTTCGTCGTGTATTTGAGTGTCTTTCTGTTGGTATAATCCTGCCATCGGGACATGGACTATACGATCCTTGTGAGAGGGAACCAACTGACCCTTTGACAAACTTGAGTGCTCAGGATCGTGAAAACATCACCGCCTCTGCCCAACACATGCTTAGGTTGATGGCTTTTAGGAGAATTCGCCAAGTGCTTGACATGGAACCGCTGCCCACACCAAGAAGGAAATTTAAACAGAGAAAGCGAAAGAGGGCAGGCGAGGGACTGGATACGTCCGAAGCAAATGCAAGTGAAAAGAAAGACAAGAAAGAAGATGGGCAAGGCGAGGAGGAAGCTGTTGTTGTTGACGACGACGATGAAGTTGAAGAATTACTAGAAGAGGAAGATGAAGAAGACTGTGTAGTGGAAACCACTGATGCCTAGAAACAAGAGACCGACAGGGATTTAACACATGATTGGAAATATAGTTTTTTTTTCTTTCTTTCATTCGGTTTTAACACCTTGAAATTTTCTGTAGTACAGATCAAATTATAAAATAATTTGTTATGCTTTAAATGTTTCATCGGAAAATTCACTTGTCTTCATTTGTCTGTAAAACCCATCACATCCATTTGTATCCAAAAAGTTTTTGTTTTTTTTTTTCTATAGAATTATCTCTTTAAAACTACTCCATTTCAAAATACTGTGCTCCAACCGTAGCCTTCAATTTGGAAGATATTTTCTTCTTAAAGACCAAAAAGTTCTTTGTAACTGATGGGTGCAGCAAAACATGAAAAAAAAAGTTTAGAACTCCCAATTGCCTAAATTAAGGAAGAAAGAAAAACAAATCAATTAACCTTACACATTTTACCTCATAAACGCAAAAACAATTTTTTTATAATTTTTACTATAAAAATGTACTTGTAATTATTTTTAATAAAATGAATCTTTAAAAGTAAAAAAAAGTTTATCGTTTAGCTAGATTTTCAAATTCATTTTGTTTAATTTCAAATAAATTTATTAAATTAAAGATAAACTATTTCTTTTCTTTTTCTTTTCCTTTCTTATAGGAAATTTCTTTTCCAATAACTTCCTTAGAATTTGATATTTACATTCACTTGTTTTAACCCTGGAATATGTTGTATCAAGCCTATTAAATGGACACAATGTGTGTATAATAACCTGCATTTTATTTAGTAAAATTGAAATGTATTTCATTTTATATAATTATTTTCCTCTTATTCAAAGTAACATTTTTTTTTTAATTCAGATTTGTAAAGAAAATTGAAGTTTACAAATTTTTCACTATTTCCAGATTTTTAGTTTAAAAATATTTAACAAAAAACAAGTCTATTTTTTCCCTTTCTGTCTATATCTTCATAAAAATATAACTTTTGGCTACTAATTGTACATTTCTGTGTCCTGTCTTTAAAAAAATATACATGTATAGACTTTATCTTGCTAGGATTAATAATATTTACAAAAATCTTCCTTGTGCAAAAGACACTTGTATATTCACTTGTGGCAAGTTTTTAGGTTTAAAGTGCCCCCAACATGATCAATAATAAAAAGAAAATATTGTACTTATTTCTTTACATTCTACCAGAAAAACCTTAAATTTTATTGTTGCTATATAAAGTTATTGAACTTGTTTATCATTTGAAAATTAAATTTTAAAGACCAGACAAAAAACCTGGAAAATATGTGCATTGGTGCACACAAGACACAGATGCCTATATAGTTTTTTGTAATCCGTAAACTTATTGATATTTTGTTGTAGATGTCTTATACTGCACAATTACATTGATTATGTTGGGATGACTTTTGAAAAACCTGCTTCTCTATTGAGATGTGTGTGTGTTTTTTTTTTTTTTTTTGTTTTTTTTTTCCTCAATAAGCTTCAGGGTAAAATTATAACTTAAAAAAAAAATTAACCAAAACAAAATCTGCAGCAAATGTTTTTTCTTCTGACCCATGATGCCCTTGTCCCTAACCTGAAATTTCAACTGCTGCTTTGCCATTTTCAAAGACTTTTTTTCAGTCTGCCTTCCTTCAAAAACATAAATACACCTGCAGTTATTTAATTTTTTTTGTTACACCTGATAATTTTCACTTTCATATCACTTTGTCTTTTCTTTTTTTCTTTTCTTTCCAAACTTTACTGTTTTGGGGAGAGGGTCCTTTGCTGCCAGATGTCAATGAATGCTATATCTTTTTAACATCTTGTTTGATTGAATGACACCAAAAAGAAAAACAATATTTCTTTAGAGAAAAAAATTATTTATGGGTGACTTGCAAAACAACTAATATTTTTTTCTTTGTGTAGCAGCTGCCTGTGTAAATCAAATTTTCAGTATAGGTTTTTTCATATTTTTCTCTTATTTTCTAACATTTCTTCTTAATTACTATTCATATTGAAGTAAATTGGAAAGACAAATAGCTGATATTTATTGCAATAACATTAATTAATAATTACAAAAAGTAAATTAATGATTTTATTTTTATTTTTATTTTTTTTTTGAATATTTTTCAAGTCCAAAAGTAAAACTTATAGAATGAAAATTATTAGAATTAGTGGAATCATTATCTCAGGTTTTGTGTGGATTTTAATCTTTCAAATTATATAAGTTTTGTTAATATATACTGTTGAATTTTATTAACAAATGATGTGTCCCAAATTTAAACTTCCTGTGTTGTCATGGTTACAACTGGGCTTGATCTGACAGGGAAAGATTTTAAGTGAATTCCCTTTGAACTTTTGAACATGTACAACCAAAACTTCAATTTCTTTTTTTAATGTTAGTATTTCTAGCATTTAGATTTTTATGATAAAAGTGTGATCCTTAGGCAGGGAGAAAGTAACTTTTGGAGGTTTGTTTTACTGTTCAATATTATTCCATTAAAAATAATTATTGTAATTTATTTAGCATTGTAAACTACACAATCCAAAAACCGATAAAAAGCTAACTTATTAAACATACATAACCATCTTATTTGTTTACTATTTTTCTGCTTTTTTTAATTTTACATAATAGTTTTATTTTCTTCTTATTAGTTTTACTATATCTTATTGTTGTTTCTTATCGCAATATTAATAATAAACCTTTTGACTAAATAGTAAAACTGGAAATAAAGAAGTGACTTCTATTGAATCTAGAACTCACGATACAACATAAGACCTTTTCATGGACATGTCTTGCCTTAACTACTATAAAAATTTAGTAATTAGGTACAGTACAAATTTGTAGTCATTTTAGCATCTTTTCATCTCAGCAAAATCAGGTTTTAAAGTTGATGATAGTAAAAAGCTACTTGAACTGTATAATCATACTAAAAATGTTATAAAATGGTGAAGTTATACAATAGGTACTCTTTAATCTTTTTCTTTTTTTTCTTTTAATATTACTATAAACTAAGCACTCCAGGTTACTAATATAAAAAATAATTTTTATTAAATCTTATAAAAGTTAACAGGAGGTCCAGTTTGCTATATAAATTTATTATAGTTTGATTCCCCCTCGCCCGGAAATCCAAAATAAATCTGTTCATACCATGTCATTTAAAATGTAAAACAATTTTGAAATTTGTAATCTGTAGTGTTCAATTGATAGATGAAAAAAATTTCAGATTACAAATCTCCAGTCATTTTTAAATTATTTGTTTTTTACATTTTAAGAAAACATGATATGAGTATATTTGTTTTGGCTTCCATGGTTGGAAGGTGGGGAGGTCAATTTACAAAGAATTTAGTAAACTGTCCCCCCTTCCCCTTAACTTTTCTAAAATTTAATAATTTTGATATATATTCATGAACGGGGGGGGGGCTTAGTAATATGACAAAAGATTTTGATAAAATGATTTCTGATGGCAATGTCTATTGTGCAAATCCACCTATAAAAAGTTATCTTGCTTGCAGTTTGCTTTTAAGGGCCTTTCAGAAACTGTTGAAAGAAATTCATTTTCTTGTCAGGTCACCCAGTAATATTCATCTAGGAAGAAAGACACTTTGGTCTTTTGTGTTACCCATTTGTTATGATTGTTATATTTTATTGATCTAAATATCTCTCACCCCACCCACTTAAACTAAACTTTGATCAAATCTGGAAATAATAAACTATCCGTCGTACCAGGGATTAAAACAAAATAATTGATAATAAATTAAGATCTTTGTTTGAATTGTGATATTTTACAACTCTAACAGCCTTAATCTTTCTTTTTCTTTTCTTTTTTTAATCTAGAATACCATTTTTTTTTTTAGCTTTGACCTGATTATATTAAAATAAAAACCAAACATATTTTTATGATTATTAAAGTTACTTAGTTTATTATGAAATTGCTGCTATCCATACTGTTTATATTATTTTTATAATAATTATACTGAATAGGTTATGCATCAAGGGACATTATGTAATGCTATGAACTAAATGAAATTACTTTTTGTAAACAACCTTATAGAAACTGTCAAAAAAATTAAGAAAAGTTCATTTCTTAATTTGTCTTTATTGTTGTTTACAAAATAAGACAAAGAAAATCATGGATAATTTCATTTAATATATCAATGTAAATATATGTTGCTATCTACTTGTGTATTACTTTTGATTAATATGATTATAAATATAATTTTACTGTCTTAAAAGAAGAGGTTCCTTCTTTTCAAAAATCTTGTATCTTTGATTCAAAATATTTTTTTTAATCTTTATAGTTACTTTTTTATCAGTTGCAGTAGGTCATTGTAATATTGATAAAATCCAAAGGATGCATCAGTAAAAAATGTAGTATTTTTATTGGTTGTTTTTACTAAATAATTTGTTGAATAATGAAGAATATGCTTCATTTTATAGTTGCTGATCATGTTAAGTTGGTATCCTCTTAAACAGTTCAGATAATTGGTGCATCACTGGAAGTAACCTGAAGATTTGTCTTTCATAAACTTGCATCCAGAACTCAGGAATGTGCCACTCCTCTCTTTCTCTTGTTGATTTAACTTAACACAATTTTTTTCAAATTGTCATTTACTTAGGACAAAATAGTAAAATATGATTTAACAGTTTTCAAATTCTTTCTGTTTTTAACAATCAAATTATCAAGCATTTTATGTGATCAGCATTACACTTTGATATGTGTAAAGGGGCAGGTTATTGCACACATGGTTAGGATTGTCTTAGATGTGCCTGTATAACAATTCCTATAAAATAATCTTAAAGGTATAATGCATATCTACTTACAAACTCAGTAAATGCTTTATTGGGAACAATCTTGTTTTATTATATATAGATTCAATCCCTAAGTGGTAAAATAATTTACCAATTTGAACATGCATGTAACCTATAGACTTTGTTGTCTTGTGTTTTTATCCTTTGTATAAATTCTATAAAATTACAATTTCTTTGCATGTAATTATGCTAACCTATCAAATACCTTATTATACATGCACATGCATAATGTTTAGTTTAATTATATTGGTATGTTCTAAAAGTTAAGCCGCCCATAAGAATTGGACCCTCAAACCAGTAGTTTATTCAGATTTAGATTTAATTGAATATTTATCTTTGTAAAAAACAATTTTTTTTTTTTTTTTTTTTTTTTGTTGCTCACAATATTCCCTGAAAGTTCTGATGTGTGAGCATTTGTTTTTTTAACTGGATATATATATTTTTAGAGATTAGGAAATGTTTGCTTTGCTTCCTTATCAAAAACCCCCACCCACCCACTGGGCACCTATATTTTTTTCTTTATTTTTAAATATTTTTTGCTACCTTGTATATCAAGGTGCTATTTTAATGAGTGTTTCTGTGAAGCTATTATTTTGAACATTGACTGGAAATCTTAAGAGTGTTTATTTTGAGCCCCCCTCTCTCTCTCTCTCTCTCTCTCTCTCTCTCTCTCTCTCTCTCTCTCTCTCTCTCTCTTGATCAATCTGCCATGTTTGGCCAGTACATTGTGTAATTGTCTTAAACACAATTGATACTTCATTTTGTGTGCGTGTTTGTGTATCCCCTCCCCATTCCACCTGTCATGGTCACTTTGGTGTGGCCAATATTCTGCACCGAGACATTCCCAGGGCCAAAATCTAAAGAAAAGAATTTTTTCCCACTTCTCCTTCCCTTATGGCCCAATTCCATCTTCAGCCTGGAGTATCATTCATTATTAGTGCCTCTCTGTAAAAAGAATAATAATATACAAAAACAAAAAAAAAAAATCATATATATATTGAAGTTTAGGGGGTGGCAGACTCAACATATCTGCAGCTGTCAGTCCCCTTATTTTTATCATTGACGGGTCTTAGAACAAAAACCAGTCATTTTTGTAATTTGCTTTGCCTCACATTCTGGACATACCTTTCAAAAAATTTTTTCATATTGATACGTCTTGATTCAAATGAAAAATTGTTAAAAAAAAATTGAATTTTACGTGACATTCATATCTATAACTTTGTAAAAAGCATCGCGAAAGTTCGTACTTAAATATAACCACTTGTAGTAATAGAGTTATAAGATCTAGCACCTATCATGTTTAATATTATTCTTATTTTAAAACTTTAAGAGATTTTACTATATATTCCATTCTTATTCTAAAAGATTCCATTTTTTATATTTCTTTCCTATGATGTTGAAAAGACTATTAATGTTGTAAAACCAAAAAAGTCATATCCATAATATGAGACAAATCCAAAAGTGACTGAAAAAAAAAAGAAAAAAAAAAGCTGTTTTTGTTTGTATAGAAATGAAGCAATAAGCCCAAAATGCATGCATAAAACAAAATCACCAAAATGTCTGACAAACAAGTTTGTAAAGTTGGGTGGGGTAAGTTTAAGTTGGCATCAACTATCAAATTTCAGTATTTCTGAGATGTTGACACTTTGTGAATTGTTTGACCTGATGACCTCAAAGATGAGGATATTAGTTCACACAAAATATTGCATCATTGTCAATTAATTTGATCAGTAATAACCAAAGAAAAACATCAATCCCTCATGTGGTGCCACACTGTGAAAAAGGCTATTTTATAAATTTTGACAAATGTCTTTAGTTCTTGACTCGTACAAACATATAAAATCTTCACAAAGACCAAAATTAATAGAAGATTTAAAGGAAATTTACAAAAAAAAAAACATTAAAAAAGTGATCACTTTGTAGCAGTTCACTTGTCATCAGTTTTGTTTATTGTTTTGTTGTTTGCCAACAATAACCATTATTGTCTCCAAAATTTAAAAATAAAAATTTTGCTACCTATTTCTATTTGGGCCTTTATTTTGTGGTTGATATAATACAAAAAAGTTGAATAAAAGTTCTCAAAAATACCTTTTACAGTATAGCATCATCTTAAGGGTGATAAAGAAAAATTGTATTGTGAACTCAGGTCGCCTTTTTCTTTCATTTTTTTTTTTTTTTTTTTTAAATAAAAAAAAGTAAACAAGCCTTGACAACTTGACCTGACATTCTTCCTTTCACCATTTGTACCCAGGTATTCCAAATTTTAATTAAAACAAATAAATTGGCCTTTCAATACCATATAAGATCTTGGTCATAAAAAATATTCCAAGTTTTCAAAGAAACAAATGAATGGGATCAGTTCAGATTTCACTAGTAGTCTATATTCTGAATATATTAAAATATTGTGTTTAATTTGCACCTTAAAGTGCTTTTTGAGTACAATGGATTTAGTGTTATTCTTTTCTCTCTCTCTTTCTTTTTCTTTTTTTTTTTTTTTTTTTTTTTTTTTTTTTTTTAGCTCATTTATTCATGCTAACTCATGTATAATGGCCCTTTTTTTAAATTCATTTTACATACCTAGTTTCAAAATATACCTATATACTGTTATCATGAGTGGCTTTTTTATTCTAACTTGAGTGATTGGGGTTCAATCCTAGGAAAAGTTGTGTACACTTTGGTCAAAGCTTTCACAAGCTTTGCATGTCCCCTATTATGTGTTTGTAAACCAGTCTGATCATTAATTTTTCTACTGACAGTGAATGCTGTGGCCTGTTTGGTAAAAAATTTGATACTATTACTACGTAATTTGGCTCAGGCGATTAGACTTTAAACAAGACTGTTACACCCCATGGCTATTGTATTTTGTAAACTTTTATACTTGTAAAAGCTCCTGTGTAAATATATAAAAAAAAAAAGTAATGGAGGGATGCTTTGGCCTGTTTGATAACAATATTTATCTAACTAGTTGTGCTAGTATAACTTGATTGACTTTAAGCCTGTGGGTCTGCATCTATGCCTTGTAAAGTCTTCCACACACTGTCTACAGTGTATTTGTATTCCTGTAAAATCCCCGAAAACTCAAGATAAATCCCTACTACTAAATGATTCAGGAATGAATAAAATGCTGACTCAAATTTTGAGAAAAGAGTGGCTGTTGAGATCATAAGTTTTGCCTGCCATATCAGCTGCAATCATATACTTGTAAAATCTCTGATAATGATATAACTTGTTACTATCAGGTGCTTAGAATTACTCCTGAAAATAAAATGTTTGTGTGATTGGACCAGGTTCATTGCTAGGAATATAACACAAGTTAAGCTTTTCAGACAGTCTTTCATCTTTACTGAAATCTGTTTTCCTGTGCCCTTATTACACCCACAAAACATACCAGCATAAATATTACAACCATTGCTTAATTTATAGTCTAGCAGCAATTGTCTTTATAGACATTGGGTTAGGCTTTTGCCTCCTAGCAATCAAGTTATACCTATATTTGAAATTTAAAAAAAAAAAAGAAACAAATCAGGTGATGTAGATATAAAATAGTTCTAAAGCAATTTTTCAAACCTTACAGTGTCAGTTCATTTTATTACTTGTAATTAAAATATATGAAATATATACTGATATAAATATACAGCTATAATTATTTAATTATTCTCTGCCTAGAAGTGATCTTCTAGACTTTGGGCAAATATTTCAAATTTTCACAATTTTCCAAATGGAATGAATATATATTACAATTACTATTTAATTATTAAATTACTGTTTTGGATTGGTCAATATGTGCATGTAAAATACCCAATGGTAAAAATATATATGTCCAAATCTAGGGCAAAGTTTTCTTAATCCCAGCCCTCTGCAGTCAGTACGTTTGTGTACATGTAAAATCCATGATGGTATAATTACCTATATTCTATTGCCATATTCAATAAATGTTGGTATTTTGGTATTCAGTGTGTTAGCCAAAAAGTATGCCACAAAATTTTTTTTTTAATTTCCTGGAAATGCCACATGTAGCTTATTGCTTCATTTTAATTTTGATTTTTTCCTGCCCTTCTATATTTTTTAATTATTTTTTTTTTTCTTTTGTTCTCATTGCTGTGTTTCTTTACAGCTACTGTCATAGCTGCCCTTTTTTCAAACCTATCAACTTTGGCTTCAACAGCAAAATCTTTTTTTTCCTCTTTTTCCAAATGGAAAATTTTCATGTAAGCAAGTGAAGTTTAAATTCATTAAAGTTTATGCATCTTGTTGCACAATTCCAATGCATCTTATTTTATTTTTTAACATTTTTTAAAATTAATTTCTTTGAACTCCTCCATATGTTGTATATTTGTATGCATAAAAATGACTTCCATCATTTGGCCATTTTTGGGATGAGGTAACTTTTGCTATTTTCAGATTGACATTCTCATCTTAATTTGATCAATATAGACAAAAACAGAAGGTACTGTTTTGTTAGTCTCTTCACTCATAAATACTATTCTTTTAACAGACTCTATTTGAGGAATCTTGAAAAAACTTTTTTTTTTTAAGTGGCTTTGACTACTACACAATATTGATTATCATCTTGTAATTGGAACCAAATACAGAACATCCTACAAAAAGTACCCACACAGACTCTCACGAGAGACTGTTTTTGATTATACACACACACACATAGATATAATGGATATAAAAGTAAGAGACAATTTTTGTATCATTATGCTGTAATTATTGACTCCACTTCAACTGTTGATTACCTGCCATTGCTTGGATTAAAATAGCTTCAAAGATTATCACCAACTCTTGTTGCTTCGTTTTTATTTTTCATCTGCATTTTATGTAAATTGAAAAAGAGAATAATGGCTCTCTTCTTTTGTCTTATTTTAATGCAATGCAAAATCATCTTTTTTGGCTTTTTGTTCTTTTATAAATCAGAGAGGGAAGACATGTTCTTTCAGGTTCAGTTTAGCACAATGTTTAAACTCCGATTTGAACATTTTCCAGTATTTGAAATAATAAAAAAAAATTAAAAAAAATGGTGAAATCATTAGTTTGAAAAATTTGATGCTAGTTTCTCAGAATTTTTGTTTTTAATATACAGTCATACAAAACAATGACAATTGTTTCAAAATTATTTTGTATTAAAGATTGGAATCAAGTAAAACAGTTATAATGGATGTGTTTGTTTAAATTTGTAAAATACCTACATTCGATAATTGTTTCAATTATTGATCTCCATTACACTATTTGTCACTATAATATTTCAGCCAATCCATTTTTCAGCCTTATTCAAAAGAAAAATATTTTTTCTTTTCTTTTTTACAGGAGGAAGTTGAGAAATAGGAAAGAAAATACGGCTAATATACCAATCAATTTTCAGCAACATGGACCAAACAAACAATATAATTCTCAGTAACTTATGTAAGATGGATAATTTCATATGCTACACTGAGAATAATATCTGTATGATTGGCATTGCTGAATTGAGCTCGTCAGTATATTAGCCAATATTGCTTTACTTGTTTTTTAACCTTCTCTATACTAATTGAACTCTTCTGATCTATTCTATAGTTGCATTTCTTAGATGTACAACCAAATTAAAGCTTGGTTATATAACAAAGAATGAATTCAGTAGTCCGAACAACTTTTGGAATGATAACTTTGCTCAAAATTATAGGCAGTATCTAAATAATATTTTTTTTTTTTTTTTTTTT